TGACTAGATTGTATTAATCAGGGGCACATGTAAAAATTAAAAAAAAAAAGAAAGAAAAAATAGTGCATTAAAAAGTTAGGTTTTATCAACAGCATGTTTAAGAATTAATAGATTTTGTATTCTCAAAAAATTTACTCATTTTATGTATAATTAACTTAGGGAACTGAAAGTCCTATTATAATTTGCTTTTCTTGAACCTATTTGCCCATTTATCCGTTGAGATTTTCAGAAAAAAAAAATAAAAAATTGAAAGGATCTGAAGGATTATGTGAGAATCAAAATATTTGAAAGATTTAATCTGTGAAAAAGAAATGCAATTAGAAGATGAAATCTCTTTTCAAATCTGTAAGATGATCCTGTGAAAGCCATCATTAAGTGTATTTCAATAGGAACAATTGGCTAGAAACTTTAGGAGAGATCTTTATTCTGGAGCTCTCCAGAGAGGTAAGGCTGGACTGCTTTAGAGCACAGTGAGTCCACAGGCTCATGTGTGATACAGAGGAAAAGTATTTGAAGTATTCAGAGAAAGGGAAGACTAGATAAATCTACTGATTGTGTGTTCTTAAATACATAATAAAATACTCATGTACTCACCAATTTCATTAGACAATTGTTACCGTTGTGGGACCTCATTAAACTAAAAAGTTTCTTTATAGCAAAAGAAACAACAAAGGAAGTGAAGAGAAAATCCATTGAGTGGGAGAAAATCTTCACCAGCTAAACATTTGACAGAGGATTAATATCCAGAATATACAAAGAACAGAACAAAGCAAAACAAATGACCCAATTAAATGGACCTGAACAGAGTTCTCAAATGAAGAAATATAAGTGGCTAAGAAATATCTTAAAATGTGCTCAACATTCTTACTAACTAGAGAAATGCAGATCAAAACCAATTTGAGTATTCCATCCTACCCCAGTCACACTGGTTAAGATCAAGAGAACAAGAGATACCAAATGCTGGCGAGGATGTAGAGAGGGGAACGCTCATTCACTGCTGGTGGGATTGCAAACTCACACAACCACTATGGTGTGGAGAACTCCCCCCCAAACTGAAAATGAATCTGCCATATAATCTGGTAATTCCACTTCTTGGCATATACCAAAGGACCTATCCAGTCTTCCAGTATGCCTAGTACACAAGAAATAATTGTAGTATAACCACTCGCTCAGAAGACCAGCACATCTGGGAGAACAATGGATGATTTGTACTGTATTTGTACAGTCCTGTTTGTTGCTGCTCTTTTCACAATAATCAAGAAGTGGAAACAACCTAAATGTCCCTCAACTGCCAAATGGACAATGAAAATGTGGTACACAATGGAGTTCTATTCAGTGGGAGAAAAGATGAAATCATGACATTTTCAAGTAAATGGATGGAACTAGAAACTGTTATACTAAGTAAAGCAATACAGACTCAGAAAAACAAGTGACCTATGTTCTCCCTCATTTGCCGATCTTAGCACCAATCCCTTATATGTATGTATGCTGGTGTAACAACAGGAGACAGGAAAATGGAAAGGAATCACGGAGGTCAAAAGAAAGAAAGACCTGGAGAGGAAGGGATAGTAGGAAATAGTTATTACCAAGGGGGAAATGGGGAAAATGGAAGTATTCAACTGGGAAGAGAGGAGGGAAGGACATACAAGGAACCATGGGGGTGAAGGGGAAGAAGGAACTCAAGAAAAGAGGAATAATAGGAGATGGGTACTATGAAGGGGTAAATAGGGGAAGATTGGAGTAAACTGGGGAGGTAGGAAGAAGGGGGAGAGAGAGAGGGAGAGAGAGAGAGAGGGAGAGAGAGAGAGAGAGAGAGAGAGAGAGAGAGAGAGAGAGAGAGAGAGAGAGAATAAAGTTTAGGTGGCATAGAAAGCTGGAGGGGAATGTGTTAATTTAAAAATCTCACTGAACAATACACATACGATATCTGAACATGAGTGCATGTGTATACCTAAATGTTATTTAACAAGAAACACAGTGCCAGATAGGAGAAACTTCCCTTTGAGCTGTTGGTAGGGGTGTTCAAGAGACTCCCAAAATAACACAGACTATTGCCATAGTCCTTGATTACCTCGCAGAACTAGAAGGTTGACCTTATTGCTAAAGACAGGACATACTTTAGACTCAGGGCTTGGAGTAATGGAGCTGTGACTAGCTCTCATAGTTCTAGAGGATACTACGCAAGCTACTAAGATTATATATCCTCTTCTAATATCTCAAATTAATGTGTTAGATGTTACATGATTAAATAGTATTTAACCCCTGCTCCCCCACAGATTGAAGGTTTGTGCCATCCATCCAAGTTTTCCTAATAATCTTTATTTTGACTAGATTTTTCCCGTTTCTTAATGCTGGCCATGCATATGTCAAGAGTGTTAGGTTATACATTGTTTTCTTTTGAGTTAATATTTTCAGATGGCTTTTTTTGTATATTTTACCTGTGAACTTTGCATTATATTGATGTTTTAGGATTTTGTTTTAGAGAAAATAATAGACTCTGGGTTTAAATCAATAAAAATTAATTATTCATTTTATTTAATTAAGGAAGAAAATGAGTTATTCTAAGGAATTTCTAATATTATTTTAAATATTCATAGCAGTGATAAACATGTGAGCTTAACATTTAATCTCAATTATTTATGAAGAGGAGTAAAGAGAAGCAAGATTGAAGACACTGTCATCAAGTATTTACTACTTCTGTATCTCATATCATACAGAAACTCCTATTCCAAACTGAAAAATACAAATACATTCTTTATTTTGCAAGTTATAAGCTACTCCACGTTTGCATTATGCTTACTGACTTTTCATTCATAATTAACTTTGGAACTATGTTCAGTTGCAAACGTTTTTCTATTATGTGTAAAGCTTGGCATTTCTAATTATATCTTAGTGACATCTTATTACACACTGTAAGAAATTCTGTGTGTTTTGCCTGAGTGAATTTTTGAAAAAAACTGATAATATCTTGTGGAGAAGGCAAAAGTTTGAAGTGAGACATGGACATATTATAATCCTGGCCCCATTACTTTTTAGGACTATGACCTTTTGAGACACGATTCATTGTGTTCAAGTCTCCTGCTTGGCTTTGCTTTGGAGATACAGTGAAATCTCACATTTGTTGAGCAGTTACCTTAGGGTTGCCATTCTTTTCAGTGTTTTGCATGAGCTAAAATTTTGTCTTTAAATCAGCTCTTCTTAGTGGGCTCTCTTATCATCATTTTCTTCCTAAAACAATGAATACGCTTAGGCTGAGGTTTTAAAGAACTGCCCAGATAGACACAATGGCAAGTGTGTAGACAAATGTGGGTTCAGTCTCACTTCATGGCTCGTGTTCACACCACTCGCCCTTCAGCACATATGAGGCCTGTGGGTTGGTTTTGAATACCTGCTGGAGATACAGTTGTTATCCTTCTGCTTAGCATAAGCCATGAATTTTAAATCTAAGAAAGATTTAAAATGCTATTTCTTAAGTTGATTGCTTTAGTAACTGTGCCTTCACATTGGTTAAAATCAAGAATGAAGAAAACATTTCAAGCCAGTACAGCATCAAATTAAAATTCTTCCTTTTCCTGAATACACATTTCCCTTATCCCTGTGGTGTTTTCTGGATTCTATTCTCTCATAGAGCAATTCTTAAATACTATGACTTCTTATTGAATCTGAATAAGCAGTTTTCTTACAGTGCTGCAAAGTGATATTCAGGCACCAAAGTACCTTTGCTAATGGTATGAATTGTGAGCCAAGGACCTGGTTTATTCAGGGGAGTTTAATTTGTGCATGATTATGCCAAAAGTATAATCATGTGGATTTTAAAAGTGTGAAAGAAAAATATTCTTTATGTTTAAAGCACTCATTTCTCAGTGACAGAGGTGGGAAACAGTTCATGTTCAGGCACCTCCCTTTCACTCAATTCATCAAGACAACAATAAAGAAGAGATGCTGTCAAAGGCAGAGATCTCAGTTGCAGATAAATAGAGAGCAATGTTGCCAGATAGGAGAGATGCAGGAATGAAGGAACCAGGCTGGGACATTGCTTGTGTAAAGTGACAAATTGAAGGGTTATGTTTTGAAATTTCATTCCAAATTATGTCTCAGTGCATTGTTTTGAAGAGGTATCATTTCATGAATGTCATAACAACTTCTGAATGAGATATAGAGTAAAATTAATAGAGAAATGTTACTTTGTCTTCTTTCCTTATAAGTAAAATACTGTAATTTGCATCTTCTCATATTTTAATGAAATAAATATAAAATTTGGGTTAAAAAATTGTGACTTCTGAGGGATGAAGAAACTGCTGAGTGGTTAAGGGCAATGGCTGTCTTTGCAGAGGACCTGGGTTTGGTTCCCAGCACCCACATGTTGAGTAACAACCACCTGTAACTCCAGTTCCAGGGGATCCAACATCCTCTTCTGACCTCTGAAGGCATTGCACAACACAGGTGCACTTACAATGCTGGTAATACACTCATACACATTAAAAAAAATAAAGTAATAAAAATAAATAAATACATAATAAATAAACTAATAAGAAAAAAAATGTTAAAAAAGAATTGTGACTTCTGTGTTAATGAGCGATATTCAGTTCAATCTTCCCAGTGCTTAGGCTTCTCACAGTTTATATCATTATACAGTATTAAAATTCTGAGTTGGTCTACAACACTGAGCAGATAATTTTCAGCATTTAAGCATATGTGTGGGTATACATGCCTCCCATCTCCCATATGTTTGATGTGCCTTAAAATAGGTAACTATTAAAGAGGGAGGAAAAATTATACTTAAACAGTTAAATTTTGGCAGATGTACCAAAGCCATTTTTCTCCAGTATGAATTTATTTAAAGGGAATACACTAAAGTTCATTAAAGAGTAAGCATAATCTTGAACAGATCATGCATGTACACACACACAAGTTTACTTATGCATACATAAAAATTTAGAACATTTCTGATATCTTCTTTATATTCTAAGACCTGTGGGGTTGTTCTCTTGTCTTGGTAGGTGGTATTTTTGAATATGTGGAATCTGGCCCAATGGGAGCTGAAGAACTTGCATTCAGATTTGCTGTGAACACAATCAACAGGAACAGAACTTTGCTGCCCAATACCACGCTAACTTATGATACTCAGAAGATCAACCTGTATGACAGTTTTGAAGCATCTAAGAAAGGTAACTATGTGACATATTTTCTATTCAAAGTTCTAGGTATTTTTTAGAGATTTCTTAATTCCATCATGGAGTTAATAAGGGTTTCTTTTCAAAATGCACATAAACATTTGTGTGCATTTTTTAGAGAAATGTGCATGTTTTATTAGAGAAAGTGTTGATTATAGTTAGCATTTAAAAATATACTTATGAATGCAATTATATTTGTGATAGACAAATTTTATCAATCTTCTAACTTTGTTATCAAACTATATCTATTTTCAAAAGTTACTAAAGTAAATAACATCTCAGTGAATTTTATCATCCTTTAATTTGAATTTTAGTTATCTGACCAACCCACTATGCTCTTGCTGTAGTCTAAATTTCATTGACTAGATTGAAAGTTCTGGGGTTGCAAGCAATTGTCAGTTACAATCTTAGATGTTTATTGGAAGATTTTGAGCAATGACTAATTTAATCTATATGTATTCCATGTTTACATTAAACTCTGAATATTTCTTCTTACAAATGAAAATAAATGAATACAAAATTTTATTATTTAAATATTCTTTATGAATTTTAATATTATGAAACTCTTAAATGACAAGTATAGTGAACTTTTAAAATTTTTTAAATTGAATTTTTGTGTATCTTATACACAACATCTAAATCATCTTTATACCCCCTTCCTCATCAGCACACTGTCATAGTCCCTCCACTTGATTTCATGCTTTCTGTTTTATATTAACGTCTATCAAGTCAAGTTAATATCCCTTGATGCCCTTCAGTGCATGGTCATCCAATGGGATCTAGTCAGCCTATCTAGAATCACTCCCTTAAAAAAGATCAGTTCTTCCTCAGTCAGCCATAATCAGCTACTCAATAGTTCTTTGGCTAAGATGGTAGTCTTCTGCCTATTTCCACAGTTCTATGTTGTTTTTGTCTGCTTTAGTTTGCATGGCTCTTGTGTATGCTGTCACTGTTGCTGTAAGTTCATATGCACAAGATCACAGGAGCCTGTAAGAATCTGTATCCATGTGGTCATGTACCTCTGCTTGTGGCTTTTACAGTCTTTCTGCCCTTTCTTCCCAAAATGGTCCCTGAGCCCTGGGTGGGTGATGTTCAATATAGGAGTCCTGTCTAAGGACCTACACTCTGCAGACATTTATTCTCTATGCTTTGGCCATTTATGGCTCTTTGTGTTCATTTCCCTTTCTTCCATGATTGAGCTTTGTTGGTGAGAGCTGAAAGATGCATTAGTATTCTCTCTACATATTGTTCCACTACGTTCCATAAGCCTTAGGTTTAGAGGTTCTATGGTAGATGTGTCACTTAAGATTCATCTGTGTGTGACCAGTTGTGTAACTTTGTAAAAGTGTCATTTGTTGCAAGAGACTTCTTTGATGTGTGGTGACTTTCAAAGTTGTCTGTAAATACAAGGATCCATATTTAGAAAATACTAAGAAATTATATTAATCTAGGCATGTGACAGCCTTGTGGTTTTCTCTAAGACCTATGACCTCTCCAGCCATGTATACGTGGCTCTGCTTACAGTACTCTACCTGAGTTTCTTCCCATTGAGTGGGCTTTAAGTTCAATTAGGTAGCTGTTCATTACTCCCAAGATTAAAGTGTCACTACTGCCCAAAATAGTTTACTGTGCAGGTCATTGTGTAAAATATTTTTCTGAAAAATTAAGTTGCTTTTTATATATGAAAGAATTGTCTTCAAAGCATATTAATCAAGCAGCAGTGTAAGTAGTGTAACTGTTTGACATGTATTTACTTACATATTGTTATGTAGGTAATATTATATTATAGTAAGTAGTCCTGTCATTTGGACAGGTAGCAGTTTTGTAATAGAAATTGACACCTGTAATATAAATTTTGTCAGAGGAGTGGGTTACACAGCATTTGTTGTCACCATATATTTAAAGATAATATTAGCCTTTCTGTGCTGCTAACATTGCTTTACTACACACCTTACAGTAATGGAAATGTATATAATTATTTGTAATTCTAATTTGGTGATGATTTCTTCCAAGATGATTAATACTAATGGCATCTGATAAGGTACAGTGTTGCTTAGGATGAAAGTGTCTTTATTTTCCCCAGCAGCTAATGTGCATTTATCTAAGCTATATTCTGCCCACCCTTTGAATTCATACCTTTATAAATATAAATAGATTTTCACATTTCAGAACCGTGTCAGGCTGATGAAAGGTGTATATGGCAGCAAAAAAAGGTTAAAGTTGACTTTCAAATGCTCAGTTTGTTATGGTGAATGCAAAGCAAGTCATTAATTAGAAGACAAGTGCATTTAATGAGCTGCATACATAGCTCATGAATTACTTCCATTTGGAAGAAGAAACTCTGCCTCCAATGAAAGCATTTAGACTGTAGTACATGGAAATATAGATGAAATATTAATAGATTTCTTAATGGTGACTTCAAAGGAGCAATGTAAAAACATAGACCAGAATGTTCTGACAACAAACAGAATACTATGTGGGAAATTCCTTAGCACAATTCTTAGGTGATAAAATCACCTGGTTTCTAAAATGTTATTAGGAATTTACAAGGTTAAACAATCATTAGAAACCTGTTTGGGATCAGATCCACCAACTGACTTTAGCCTGAAGTTCAAATAAGTAATTTTCTTCAAGATAAGTTTTGGATCTTGTTTATCTAGATCTTAATATTTAGAGCACATGGAGATATGCAAATGGAAAGGTCTAAGATGAGTTTTGAACTATATAAGGTCTCAACAAAAGTACACATTGATCATCATAGTAAAGGTTAATTATAAATTCAGTGAATTCTTTTATCATGTTTATAATTGTCCTTTTGAGTTCCATGTTCTGCATTATCCCTAGGGGATTCTCTTTGTACTGCTCTGGAGGACTGTTTGTGTTTGGTGGGGGTATGCTATTTTGGTTTGTCATGTTATTATTTTCTCTGTGTTTGACATGTGAATTTCTTTTGTAGTATCTGATTCTTGTGTGAGACTCAAGCATTTAAGTTTAAGTCTGCATCTTTTTGGGAACATTATGTGTCTTTGTGGTTTACTTTTTGGGCATGAATAGCTGGTTCCTCTAAGCTTCCAATCTCTCTTTTGATTTTATATTGGAGTGGCCAGATTGCTTTTGTCTTCAGGAGTTCCCACAGAGGCCCAAGTCTGATGAGGATCAGATGCTCTCAGGCTGTCTCCTAAAGACTGGATCTCTCCAGGATAGATTTCGGCCTCAGGAATTCGGGGTTTGGCCTGGCCTAGGAGCTGGGCCCAGGAAATATGCTGGTCTAGGGCAGCTGTTGTCTGTCCCACCCAGAGATCCAAAGGAAGATGGCTCGGCAGAAGGTGGCCCCAAAGGCCCCTGGTTACTGCATTGAGGAGCTGGGTTTGTCTGGATGCAAAGGACCAGGAAGAGGAAAGGTCAGACCCATTTTCCAGGAAAGAGGCTGGCTGGTAGTGCAGGCCCAGGGAAGTAGAGGGAGGTGAGGGTGGGGCCAGGCCCAGAGGGCTCCTGGGGATGGGGAAGGAACTGAGGTGGTCTGGATGTAAAGGATCAGAAAGCAGTGGTGGTTCCCCCCAGTGCCTGGGGCGCCAAGACAAGGAATGGGACAGGACACAGGCTAGGAGAGACAGGTGGGGAAGATGGAACCGTGAATGAGGCTGGGGGTGTCAAGGCATGGAAGGCATGATCGACTTACCCTGGAGAGAAAGGCCTGTGAGTCGGAGAGAGGTCTGTTGGTCGTGCAGGCCCAGGAAGTAGGTGTATAGTTGAATAACATGTTTTGGGATGTTCTGTGTCATACATACACACACACACACACACACACACACACACACAAACACACACAAATCAACAAATTTTTAAAAACGTATTATGTTTGAGGAGGAAGCATGGAAATTTAAATCATGCTAATTAGCATAGGTGATAAACATTACCATTGAAATCTACCCGATAACTTTATAGACATACACAGGCGCGCCAAAGATCCAAGTGTAACCGATTATGACTAGTAATAATCAGATACATACAAATTAGAGATGCATGTGCCAACATTTCAGTGTTAGCAAAAACAATGAGTCTTTTGGCAAGGAATAATATATTCTAAATTAAAATGGGGATCTTATTTAAAGGCTAAAAACTCATTCAATTTTATGTCTTAGAGGGCTTATACTGAGTTCAATATTGTATAACTGTATTAATTCAACTGCAAACTTGTACCCACTTTTGAAAGAGATATACTCTTGCTCTGGAGTGTGTTACTGAGTATGTTAAAGCTCTAGTGAAATGCTTCTTCTAATCATGTAGTTATTAAATTTTTTAAAAATAATGTTAAAAAATAATAATTCTTCAAAGTATAAAAATTTGCTCCTTAATGAGTAGGTATGAAAAACATTACCATTTAAATCTACCTGATGACTTTATATCCATTCTCAGATGCCAAGGAGCTCAGAAAGTAACTGACTGTGACTAAAAATAATCATATATATAGATTAGAAGCACATGTGCAAACATCTTAATGTCAGTTGCATCAAAAACGAATTTTTCTATATGAAACTCTGTATTTTAATAATGAAATGGAGATTTTTTTAAAAGGTTAAAATGTCATTTAATTTTATGTTTTATAGGGTTTATACAGAGTACAGAATATTGTATACCTTAAAAATTCAACTGTAAACCTAAAAATTTACAATTTTGAAAGAGATGCATCTTAGTTCAGAAAATTGTTATGGAATATGTCAATGCTGTTGTAATGAAATGCTCCTTCTAAGTAAAAAAAAAAGGTTAATTATAAAATAGCAATCAACTGGGACATTTTAAAATATTTTAATCATTTTTCTCAGGCAAGAATGTGATAAGAAAGTAGGGTTAAATTTTAGAATTTTTCTGATACTTTTTTCTCTCATATATTTATGAGGTTATATTGCTTTACTCAATTAATGAGTACTTTGGTGTTTCAGATCTAGATTATTCTTTGAATCATAGTTTTTTAAAATGGTCCCTTTTAGGTAGGCAAGATGGCATTTGCCTATAATCCTATTATTCTAGAGGCTGAGGCAGGAAGGCCATGTAGATGTCAGTCTAGGTTATATAGGAAAACCTGTTCTCAAAGTAAATATTGATAACAATAATAATAATAATAACAATAATAATCTTAAATTGGCTCAACCAGCATCCCTGTTCAGCATGGAAGAAGCCAGAGTGGTCTGTGTCCCTATTCCCTATTGGCAATTTGGGTAACCCCTTCGGAGGATGATGAGATAAGAATAGGAGGTAGGAATTGGCTAGGCAGTTAGGGTAAAAAGACCTCAAAGAAAAGTTGCCAGTTTCTTGGGTAAAAATCAAAATGTGGGACTTTTAGCAACATACCTTGTTCCAAAGGACAAAAACGTCAAAAGTATTTGGGAGCTTGTATCTAATCCTTAAAAGATTTTTGGGTTACCTCTTCAGAGGTGGGAATGTTTGAGTACCCAAAATCCCCATAAAAATAAATAAATGAAAGAAGGAAAAACAGAAAAGAAAAAGAAAACACTGATGGGGAGATATGGGAGGTGTTTGAAGGGAAAGAGTGGGCATGGATTTGATCAAAACACCTTACATGCATGCATGAAATTCTCAATGTTTTTGTAAAAGTTAAAAAAAAAAGATAAAGGAATAAATGCTGTTTCTTCCTCTCATAATCTCCTGCACAATATGATTGGAAGTGGTTAATATATATTATCATATTTAATTAAAAATATACCAAAAATACACTCTGACCCAGTTTCAATCTATTGTGCTCCATTGCATGCACGTGCACACACACACACACACACGCACACACACACGCACACACACACACAGCATATCATACCACTGCTGGCCAGTAACAAATGCTCCCAGCTCAAGGAGCTATTAGAAGGTCTAGTTCTCTGCAGTCCTATTTACAAATACTGAAAAGTGAAAGCTCTCTACAATGAAAACTATAAAAACTGGTGAAGGGGTGGCTGGAGTGATGGTTCAGCAGTTAAGAGCACTGGTTGCTCTTGCAGAGGACCCAGGTTCAGTTCCCAGCACCTACATGGCAGCTAACAACCGTTTGTAACTGCATTCCCAGGGGTTCCAATACCCTCTTCTGGCCTCTGTGGGAACTGCATGCATGAGTATACTTACATACATGCAGACAAAACACACATATGCATGAAAATAAAAATAAATTTAAAACTGGTGAAAGACATTGAAAAAGACAAAAATATGTAAAGAAATCTCAGTTGAAAGGATGCAATGCAAACCCCTTCTTGGCCCCAATAAAGTTCTTCCCACAACGAGAAAAATACCGTGAAGTTTGTATATAAACAGTAAAGCCTAAGTACTCAAAGCTGTTACAGAAAAGGAATAAAGTAA